AGATATTTTTGGTTCTGTTGCTCTCCTTGTGGGGCTCCTGTCCCCTCCAGGTCTTTCTATCTCCCCTTTCTTTCATAAGATTCCCTGCACTCTGCCCAAAGTTTGGTTATGAGTCTCAGCATTGCTTTGATACCTGCTGGGTAGAGTGCTTCAGAGGCCCTCTGTGGTAGGCTCTTTGTCCTGTTTCCTGTTCATTAATCTTTTTAAAAAATTAAAATTTCTCCAGGGAATCTCATGTTGGGTGGGGCTAACTTGAAGCCCTAATTGCTGGAGAAGGAGCAGTCACCCAGGGCGAGATCCTGGCGACTTACAGGTAAATCTATATAAGCTGCTTTTCTAGCTTTTTGTTTTGTTTCACTTTTTTTTTTTCCCCATCCAAGGTTTCTCTGTGTAGCCTGGACTGTTCTGGAATTCTGCTCTGTAGACCAGGCTGGCCTTGAACACAGAGATCCTGCCTCAGTCTCCTGAGTGCTGGGTCTAAAGACATGCATCACACTGCCCAGCTGCTTTTCTGTCTTTTATCAATCTTTTCTATAGATTGTAATACTGGTACAATCAAGATGGGGAGAAACAATTTTTTTTCTCTCTCTCCTTAATTTTGAACAAAACGTCAAATACTTATTTTTTTCTTACCAACTGTGTGTGTGGTATTTTGGTGAAGCAGCAGCAGTTGACTTGAGGTTATGGTTATAAAAACAGTGGATACTTTTTAGTCTTCTTTTTACTTGATCCTGTCAATCAATTCAAACTCTAAAACTGTAACAGTAAATAAAGATAGTTGGGCTCTTAGAAACTGCACTGAGAGGCAGAAGCTCAGATCGCTCTGAATCAGTGTTCTGCTGTGTACAAGGCAACTGGGAACTTATCCATACACGCTGCTGACTTATTGCCAAGCTGCATAAAGTCTGTGACCAAACACAATCATTCCCAGTCTTGATGAGTGCAAAGCCAAAAGGATCACAATTAAAACATAACTTCGGAGCCAGGCGTGGTAGCACATGCCCGTAACCCCAGCACTCAGGGAGGCAGAGGCAGGCGGATCTCTGTGAGTTTGAGGCTGGCCTCGTCTCCAAATCGGGTCTAGGACAGCCAAGGCTACACAGAGAAACCCCGTCTTGAAAAAAAAAACCAAACCAAAACAAACAATCAAACAAACAAACAAACGAAAAAACCCCAAACAATTCCTTTGTAAGAAATTCTATTTACTGTTCAGAAAGAACAGGGGCTTCACAACAGGCTATTGATAATAGAAGATAAAGCAAAGAATGTGGTGAGAGATGACTGAGTGGCTCACAGTGCTTACTGTTCATCCAGATGACCACAGGTCGGTTCCTGGCACTCACATCAGGTGTCTCACATCAGGTGTCTCACATCAGGCACTCACATCAGGTGTCTGTAACTCCAGGTCTGGGGGTTCCTACACTCTCTCCTGGCACCCATAGCTACATGTAAGTATATACAGGTACATATACACGTAAGTGAAAGACAGGAGGTATACACATAACAAAGTGTCTCTGAAACAGAAGTCTGTATAATCCAGCCATTTTAGCTACCTGGTCAACTTTCTTTACCCTCCTGGCCTCTTGGTCTGGCTCCCCCATCATCTCTCCCGTCCTCACATGGCTCCGAGTCATGCTCACTCAGGATGCCCCCCAGATGTCCCTGCCGCTGACTGTCTCCCTTTTATCTACAGTAAACCTTCCTCCTCCATCAGACCTAGGAACAGTCATGTCTCGACTTTCCTTCCTTCCTTCCTTCCTTCCTTCCTTCCTTCCTTCCTTCCTTCCTTCCTTCCTTTTCATTCACTTTGGACACAGTATAATGATCAGGGGTTCCAAAAGCCTTCAGGTTGAGGGTGACCAAAGCCCAAAATTGCACAAAACACACACAAACACACACACACACAGGGCAGACACACATGCACACATAAACATGCACCACACACAAACACACTGTGCACATACACTGCACACCGATACAGCACACACACACACACCACACATGGCGCGCACACACAGCACACACACAGTGCACACCCTCACCACACACATGCACACCCATGGACACATGGCACGCACACAGAGGCACGACGCCCACACACCTGCCCTTCTCTTCTTCCTGGTAGCCTCCAGCTACTGCTAAAGCTCCCTCAGTGCTGCTTCCAAGATCTGAGGTTCTTCCTTTCAGCTCACACCCTCTCAGCAGGACTCTTACAACAGGCCCTCTATCCTCCTCGAAACGCTTATTTCTTAATTACCAGTAATGCCATCCTTCTCTTCGTTTTGCCAGCCTCTCAGTCCTTTTGTTTATTTCTCCCTGTTACTAGGATTTAAAGGCCGAGGCTCTCCTACAGTTGAAGAGCAATGTTTGGGCAAGGAGAGTTGGCAGGAAGAAATCAGCTTTACCCAGGAGCTGGCATTCTTGAGAAGTTAAGAGGTGCTTTCTCCTCAAAATTCTACCCTCTGTCTTTAAGGGCTGGAGAGATGCCCAGCGGTTAAGAACACTGTCTGCTCTTCCAGAAGTCCAGAGTTCAGTTCCAAGCAACCACATCAGGTGTGGTGGTTCACAGCCTTCTATATTAGGGCTCTGATGCCCTCTTCTGGCATGCAGGTGTACATGCAGATAGAGCACTCACGTACATAAAATAAATAAACAATTCTAAAAAAAAATAAAGAAAGGTAAAGACAGCAGCAACAACAACAAACCTTATCTTTAGGGTTCAGGGACCTAAAGAAATTTTTGGTAAAAGAAAGGATTTTGGGAAGGTAGTGAGACTGGGAGCTGGGCCAGATTTTTCTCATCATAAGTGCATCCTTGTTCCTTTTGCTGCCTGAATACCAAAATTTAATCTCCTGTAGCTATCTAACTGAAGACCGAGGGAGGTGCTGGGGTGGTGGTGCACCCCTGAGATTTTAGCACTGGGGGGGGGGCAGAGGCAGGAGGATTGACTACATAGTGAGTTCTAGTGATTAGAATTAGTTACTAGAACATAGTTTTTGCTTACTGTGTTTTTCCTTTTTTTTTTTTTTTTTTTTTGAGACAGGTCTCCCTACCTAGTACTGGAACTGGCTTTGTAGACCAGGCTGGGCTTGAACTCAAGAGATCTGCCTGCCTCTGCTTCCGGAGTGCTAAGATTAAAGGTGTGCACATCACCAGCCCCTGGCTAAGCCTGATTTATATCTTAAAGTCCGGCCCAGGGGCAGAGGCAGAGACAGAAGAGATAGACTAAGGAAGGGTGTTACATAGGCCATCAGCTATCTGGGTTCCATGAATGCAGGCTTTGGGAGTTAACATCTCCCATTGGGCTGGCCAGGCTTTTTGTCACTGTTGAAGATGTATTTTTTTAATTTTATTTTATTTTATGAGCATTAGTGTAACGGTGTTAGATTCCCTGAACTGAAATTACAAACCGTTGTGAGCTGCCATGTGGGTGCTGGTAACTGAACCGGGATCCTCTGGAAGGACAGGGAGCCAGTGCTCTTAACCTCTGAGGCATCTCTCCAGCTCCAAAGATATATTAATTGAGGTAAGACTCTAACTTTTCACATTTTAGTCTTGGCATTTGTGTGTATCTTCAGATCCAGTTTGTGAGCTCTGTCTGAGAGTATCTGAGTCTCAAAGTATTGGTCTGGGGGCTCCAGACACACAGCGCACCTAGCTCCTTTTTTGCAAGAGGCTGAGGAGGGTTTGGAGCGCGGTGACAAGCGCCCCTGACGTCCAGATGGGCAGGAGACCTCCACTGACGTTCTCCCTCCACAGCCTCTCAGGTCCTAGTGCGTCTGGTCCAACAGCTACGAAGAACCGCAGCCCAGCCTCCTGCTTCCCCGACCTGTGCCACCCCTAAATCCTCTAAGCTACCGGAAGGTAAAGCATCTGGTGTTTCATCCTTTCTTGATATGGAAAAGCTAGCTGGGCTACATAGCCTGACAGAGTCAGCCTGAAAAAAACAGTACCCTAAACTCCTGATTCGAGAGGCGCTGGCCTCCCCCGAGGGTCAGCTCTTCCAGTCTGCTGGTAGGATTTCCACCCACGCAGCTCCGCAAAGCGGCCCCTTGCTAGCTGAAGCTTCCACTGTGGGCTCCGCCTCCGCTCCCACGCTCCGCCCCGACCTGACCGGGCCCCGCCCCCGGCCCCGCCTCCCACCCACTCCTCCTCCTTTCCTGCACAATCAGCTACTCTTCCCCGCTCGGGGCTCCCAGTTCCGGGCTCTACACGCCTGGCCCTGCCTCTTAGACCCCGGGGGGCGGGGCTGGGGAACCTTAGGATGCTCTGGCCTGCGAGCGGATCTGGACGGGCGGAAGTCGGCCGGGTGGGACGCAGAGGGGTGGGCGTGCGAAGCCGTTTCCGGTGGCTCGCTCGTTGGCGAGTCCCTGACGCGCCCAGGCTGGGTGAGTCGGCGCAGTTGCTTTTCTTGTTGTCAGGGCAAGGGGTGCCCGCCTCTCCCCTAGAAGAGATGGAAGGCGCGGGCGGCTCCGTGCTGTTGTGAGTGCCTGGCGGGGGACTTGGTCCCAGCGGATTCGAGGCGAATAGTCTGAGAACCACAGCTCCTCCTAGCCTGCTCCCGAGCTCCAGTGTTGGGCCTGAGTAAGGCTGCTTCCCTCCAGGTCCGGGCCTGGCTGCGGTCTCCCTAGTTCTTCCTGAGTGATCACTTCCAGGGACCATCTTTATCCCCAGTTTCTGCACCTGGAAAGGCCCTGGAGTCGGTGACGGGGGCTGAAAGTGTTGTCATAGTTGTGGACCCAGATGGCACCTCGGGATTCGCCCTTCCGTGGTTGGGACCGCGATTTCCCATTGGCTGTCCAAATGCTGGGGTCTGAGAGGGGCCCCCTTTTCTAGTGTCCACTGCTACTTGGGTTAGCCAATGGCCAGAGAGCTGGGCTAAAAGCTCCCTAGGAAGCCGGCTTCCTCCTTCCCATTCTGACCTCGCGGCGGTGGGAGGGGGTGGGGCTGGGGGAGTGTCTAGGTGGGGCCTAAGGACTTTGATTTAGCAGAAGTGGACTTCTGAAATCCGTAGTGTAGCCGTCCTTGTGCCTTAGGGCAGCTGTAGCCTAGTACTTGAGAACAGGGATTCTGTTTTTCCTCTGAAGACGCCCCTTCTGGCCCCCGTCTCCTCCAGCTGACTCTACTTCTCTTGCTTCCTTCGGTTCACACGCTGGCTCACGTTGCCCCATTTTCCTGGTCCTGGAGTGCTCTCCCTACCACTGTTACCCTGGCTTAGGCCCTGGGGGAAGACATCCTTTTAGACATTACCAGAGTTTTTCATTGAAACACTTGACTAGTTCCCTGACCACCAGCACTGCCACGATTGTGATTTTATGTGTGGTTATTGTCTTTTCTACTCGATGTCCCACGAAGGCTGTTGTCACTGTTGCCTCCCTCATTGTTTAGTTGAATGTGTAGCCCATGGTAGCCATTTATTTTTTAATTAATTAATTTTTTTATGGTTTTTCCAGGCAGGGTTTCTCTGAGTAGCCCTAACCGTCCTGGAACTCATTCTGTGGGCCAGGCTGGCTTTGAACTCAGAGACCCCCTGCCTCTGCCTCCAGGTGCTGAGACTAAAGGTAATGTACCACCACCGCACCACTGCCCTGCAGCAGCCATTCTTAGTGTGTCTGTGAAGTGATTCAACCCCTCACCCCCACACAGACAAGAAGGTTCAGGGGCTGATACTCTGATGTCAGGCTGTGTTTGCCCAGCCTGGTGTCTCTATGTCTGGCATTGGTGGTAAAGAAGCAGGGGATACAAAGGCCCTGTGATCATACTGGGAATTGGGGCGCTTCCTCCACCCTGAAATCTGATCTTTTCATAATTCCTCACAGGTGTCTGAGTCAAGACAAGTGGACCACACCCTCCAAATCTCATGGTAGGAAGCCTGGCTGCCTCCATTCCCTCTCTTGTCCTGTCCAGCCTCCACTTCCTACTTTAGGGATCTACCCGTTCTACTGGGCCTGAGCACATGTCTAGCTTTGGCTCTCACTGAACTCTTGCCAGGTTCAGTCCCTGAGGCTGTGAATAAACATCTCCACAGACCAGAGCTTAGCTGCACCTGTTCAGTGAGCAGGAGCATAAGGTCACTCCTGTGGACTAAGTTCCTCCTTTTCTCCTAAGAGCCAGAAGGATCCTTGTGATTCTAGCCCAAGCCCTTGGGTCACCTGCTTGAGATATACCATGTTGTAGTGCCAGAGTGGAACTGGCACCTATGAATATCTGGGGTACTAGTGTGTGTCCTTTCAGGAGGCGGTGACGTTTGGCGATGTGGCTGTGCACTTCTCTCGAGAGGAGTGGCAATGTCTGAATTCTGGTCAGAGGGCCCTCTACAGGGAGGTGATGCTGGAGAACCACAGCAGTGTGGCTGGACTAGGTGAGGCTACACCTGGGGATCCTCATCCGTCCAACACTTGTCAACCACAGGGGATGTGGGTGCCAGCTGCCTGGGCTTTAGGGGTTAAACCTTGAATCTGAGTGTCGGGCTAGCTCCATGCTTTACACATGTTACCCAACCTAGTCCTTTCTAGGTTAGTGGACTTCTGGGAACTAGCAAAACCTGTTTCTCCTCAGGCTATTATGTGAGAAGTAGCACCATATTTGAAATAGCTTAAACAACAAGCCTGGTACAGTGGCACATGCCCGTAATCCCCAGTGCTCTAAGAGGCAGAGGCAGTTGGATCTCTGTGAATTTGCAGGTAGCCTGGCCTACAAAGTGAGTCCAGGACAGCCAAGACTACACAGAGAAACCCTGTTTTGGAGAAAAAGAAAAAAAGTTTAAACAAAACAACAACAAAGGAAAAAGATCTTCTTAGCTTGAGGAATCTCCAAAAAAAAACTGTTTTAGAACCAGAGTGTCTGTGATACCTGCATCCCTTTCCTTCTGTCCTGCAATCAGATGTCTCCCATTCTTGCTACCTCCCTGCAGGCTGCTCCAGCACATACAAATTTGTATTTTGTCTCAACGCTGTGGCAGTATGTATGTCTTACATACGCACAGAATGCATGTCTTACATACATGCTGGTTGCTGTGCATCTCACCTGACACTAAGCCTTTTGCCAGGCTAGATGAGATGAACAGTCATAGGCCTGGACTATCACTGAGAGAGGTACTGGGTAAAGCAACTACATCCCATCTTCCCACCCCCCCTTTCCCATCCCAGGTCCACACCAACCCAAGACATTCCCATGTTGTAGTCAGGCCGGTGTCTGAGTTCAAGGTCAGTCTGGTCTACAGAGCAAGTTCAGGATAGCCAGGGCTACACAGAGAAACCCTGTTTTGAAAACAGCAACAAAATAAAGAAAGCAGAACAATTTAAGATTCTGTTGTTTTTCTGTTTGTCTGGCTTTTTTGATTTTGGGCATCCTGTCTTTTATCCTTGCTTGTTAGTTAGGTTCTAAAATCATGCATTTGTGCAGCTCTTTAGCATTTTTTTTTTAACGGGTTGGGGTGCCTTACTGACTTGTGGGTATTTAGATGTTTAGTACATCTTGTGTTAGATTTTACCGAAACAGTATGTCCTAAAATACATTATTAAATGTACGTCTCAGAATTTTAACAAAGGGTTAAACCACCCAACAACTTAACACTTACTTAGTACTTTGTTGACTCTTCCCACTTTCATTGTTTTTATTCTTTTTATTATATAGGGAGTTTGGGACCACCACTTGTAATTTGAAAGCTGCTTCCCTCGTTTCATTACTATTTTGTTTCTTTTGTTTTGTTTTGTTTTTTTCAAGACAGGGTTTCTGTATGTAGCAGTTGCTGTCCTGGAGCTCAGCTGTAGACTAAGCTGCCCTGGAACTCAAAGGTCCACCTGCCTCTCCCTTCGAGTGCTGAGATTAAAGGCTCGTGCCACCACCACCCAGTTAAATTTTGTTTCTTGTCTACCCCACCTCCTAGGGTACCCTTGTCTTTTGAGCCGGGAAAGAAAAAGCCATGGCTTCGCAGAATGTTGTGCTGGCTTGGGCTTACGCTTCCCTATTCCATCTGTACCCCAAGTAGATCCAGCCTGTTCTCTGATGACAGTGTTCCCTAGAGATCGAGGAAGTCTGGGTGTTCCTTCCTGTGTGGTCTAATGAGCTAGAGAGGAGGAGCTGCTATGTACCCAGCGCCTCACCCCTTTTCAGCTCTGGAATAGGCTCTGCATATATCTAGCAGCTCCTGTCTTTGTGGCGGGAAACTAGGAGGGTGGCTGACTCCTGGCCGTGTTTCTAGCATCTCCTTCTCTATCTCACACACAGCAGGATTCCTGGTCTTTAAGCCTGAACTGATCTCCCGGCTGGAGCAAGGACAAGAGCCATGGGTCCTTGACCTACAGGGAGCAGAAGGGACAGAGGCACCATGGATCTTCCAGACAGGTGAGGCCCAGGCCCTATCACAGAGGTTTGAATAAGAAGGAGCTGAGGTGAGGTCTTGAGATAGTGGGAGGCTGGGGTAGTCCTGGTCGCCAGTTGGGCTGCTCAGGAACATTGCAGGGAGGCCAGCCCCAGAGAGAACCATGACCAGCTATATGGCCACCTCTAGGAAGACTATACCACAAAAAGGCAAGGACACAAAACACTTGTCAATTCAGCTGCTAAGTGTCGTGTAATGAATGGTCATAGAGAAACCCAGCCTGTGGGATCAGAACAGGAAGGCAGCCTATAGAGATTAGGAGATTCTAGAAGGAAAGTAGATTTCATGAAGACCTCTTGGGGGTTCTGGGCTCTCAGACCCTGCTTAAATTTGCCCCAGGGAAGAAGTCAGGGCGCGCTACTGGGTATGGCCACTCGGCCAGTGATCTAGTGTTTTAATCTTACTGTGTCACATGACAAAACATTCTGATTAAAAACAAGATGGAAAGAGTTTGTTTCAGTTTACATACCCAGGTCATAAGCCATCATTGTGGGAGATCAGGCCAGAAACTGAAGCACAAACAGCAGAGGAACACTGTTACTGCCTTGCACTCTGGCCGATGTCCAGCTAGCTCCCTTACACAGTCCAGACACAAGTGCCCACAGTGGGCAGGTCTTTCCATAATAAATCATCAGTCAAGACAAGCTCGTGGACAGGCTCAGGCCAATCTGATCTGGACAGTTTATAGTGGATGTTCCCCTTTCCCAGGTAATCCTAGATTGTGCTGATTTGACAGTAAAAGCCTGTAGCAAGGCTTGCCAGGTGTGGCTTTGCAGTTTGGGTCCTTCTCAGAGAAGCCTTTCTCGGGGGACAGCCATGGGAAGTCTATTTTTTTAGTCAGACCCCCTTTTGTCCTCACTTGCATGTAGCATGCTTGGGGGCCTCTGACCTGCTTTGATGAATTCTTGACTGACATTCTCCTCACGTTTGCTCTATGCACTCTCACTTCACATACTCTAGGATACTCCTTCCTCAGGGCCCTCTAGGGAGAAACTCTGCTTGTGGACCCTCTTAGGACATGAAGCACGGCACCCTGCCTTGTAGACATGAACATATCATCACTGTTCACTGAACTAAACTGTGGTCATTTCTCTTTCTGTCCTCTTGCTACACTTTCCACTTGGGATGTGTTGTGGTGTGACACTCCACTAAGCCTCTGATTGTCTCTGGTCTCTGAGCCCACATGTAAGAAACATTTTTACTTTGTGTTTATTTCAGATTCTGCTATTAGAACTGATCACAAGCAGACCTGTGAGTACATGGACCTTCTCAATCCTGGCTTTGGAGACAATTTGGATTCTAAGGTCTTGTCAGAGAATTTTCCAAGCAGCCTTGGACTAAGAGTGAGTGGCTCACTTTTCCAGAAGCACCATTTGAATAATGAGACTGTGGCTCCCAAGAACTTCTCTGCAGACACTCTTCAGGAGTGCAAGGAGCTTCAGGCCACTGATCTGAGTTATCAGCCTGACGAACAGAGTGTGAAGTGGACATCAGAGAACTGTGAAGTGTGTGGCAGAGTATTTAGATCACCTTTGAACCTGGGTCCATGTCTGGAAATCAGTGTGCGGGAAAAACCATACAGATGTCAGGCGTGCCAAAACACATTATCTGACTGCTCACAGGAGAAATACACAAGTCGCTGCCATGGGAAGAAGCCTTATGAATGTGAGGAGTGTGGGAAGGGCTTCAGGCTGTGTTCACAACTCAGTCAGCATCAGAGAATCCACACTGGAGAGAAACCATTCAAATGTGTTGATTGTGGGAAAGCTTTTCGTCTGAGCTCAAAACTTATTCAGCATCAAAGAATTCATACTGGAGAGAAGCCTTACAGGTGTGAGGAGTGTGGGAAAACCTTTGGTCAGAGCTCAAGCCTCATCCATCATCAGAGAATCCACACAGGAGAAAGGCCATACAGTTGTCAAGAGTGCGGGAAAGCCTTCAGCCAGCAGTCACAGCTGGTCAGACATCAGAGGACTCACACTGGAGAGAGGCCCTACCTCTGCCAGGAGTGTGGCAAGGCCTTCACCCAGAGCTCAACTCTAGCTCAGCATCAGAGGATGCATGCTGGGGAGAAATCTCAAATGCCAAGAGCTTCAGAGAACCCAAGCCTTACTGCTCACCAGGGAAATAACACCGCAGAGAAGCCATTTAAGTGCGAGGAGTGTGGGAAAGCTTTCAGGTGGGTCTCTCGCCTGAGTCAGCACCGGCTGACCCATACCGGAGAGAAACCTTACAAATGCAACAAGTGCACGAAAGCCTTTGGCTGTAGCTCGCGACTGATTCGCCATCAGAGAACTCACACGGGAGAAAAACCGTTCAAATGCGATGAGTGTGGGAAGGGCTTCGTCCAGGGCTCGCACCTCATTCAGCATCAGCGAATCCACACAGGGGAGAAGCCCTACGTGTGCTCCGAGTGTGGGAAGGCCTTCAGCCAGAGCTCCAGCCTCATTTACCACCAGCGGATCCACAAGGGGGAGAAGCCCTATGAGTGCAGCCAGTGTGGGAAAGCCTTCAGCATGAGCACGCAGCTCACCATCCACCAGAGGGTGCACACTGGCGAGAGGCCCTACCAGTGCAGCGAGTGTGGGAAAGCCTTCAGTCAGAACTCCACCCTTTTCCAGCACCAGATCATTCACGCTGGAGTCAAGCCCTATGAGTGCAGTGAGTGTGGAAAGGCCTTCAGCCGGAGCTCGTACCTTATTGAACACCAGAGAATACACACTAGGGCCCAGTGGTACTGTGAATTTGGAAACACCATTGAAAGTTCCACCTTCTTGAACCATAAGAAAGTGAACACTGTGAAAAAATTGCACCAGTGTGATGACTGTGAGAAGATATTCAGGTGGCGTTCACACCTGATTATACACCAGAGGATTCACACGGGAGAGAAGCCTTACAAATGTAACGCTTGCGGCAAAGCCTTTAACCGGAGCTCAAGGCTCACTCAGCACCAAAAAACCCACATGGGATAATCATTTACCTAGATGTCCTAGTTACTTCTCTATTGCTGTGATGACACCATGCCCAAGGCAACTTGTGAAAGTTTGTTTGGGGCTTAGAGTCTTAGAGAGCATTCACGGCGTCATGGTGAGGGGCGTGGCGGCAGGCAGGGAGGCATGGTGCTAGAGCAGTAGCTGAGAGCTCACATCCTAGGACAGCCAGTTACTAGGCGGAGAGAACTAACTGGAAATGCCAAGAGTCTGTAAAATCTTAAAAGCTTGTGCTGGAGAGATCGCTCAGAGGTTAAGAGCACTAGCTGCTCTTCCAGAGGTCATGAGTTCAATTCCCAGCAACCACATGGTGGCTCCCAACCATCTATAGTGAGATCTGGTGCCCTCTTCTGACATGCAGGTGTACATTGACATGCAGGCAGAACATTGTATACATAATAAAAAAAAATTAAAACAAAAAATTTTAAAAAATCTTAAAAGCTCATCCTGTGACACACCTTCTTCAAGGCTATACCTCCTAATAATTCCCAAACAGTTCCACCAACTGAGGACCAAGTATTCACACACATGGCCCATGCAGATTATTCTGTGTACAAATGTAACTGAGTAAGCCAGAAGCCTTACTTTATTGAGGTAATTTATGCTAACAGGAACTTGAGAATGCTAGAAAAGATTCAAACTTGTTCTTAAAGAATATTCTACTTATGAAAATGTTTTGTTTCTGGCATGTTTGACATTTATCCATTAAATAAAGTGTGTGTCAAGGCATAGCCTATGCTTTGAACTCTTAGAGTGGGTTTCTGTCCTACAGATGAGAAACAGGTATCAGGAAAGCCTTGTGAGCCCTAAGCAACAGCTTAAGTGAAGCCACCAAATCCAGGCCTGCTAGCAATCCCAGAACTCAGGCAGATGCAGAAACTCATCTAGACTGTGTCTAAAAAGTCAAAAAAATAAATAAAAGTCAGGTGCATGTTTTTAATCCCAGCAGTTGGGAGGCAGAGACAAAAACAAAACAAGAAAGAAAGAAAACCTGGAGACATATTTGTGTAGGATTTAATCCTAAGAGCATCTTTTCTGTTGGTCCATTTCAGAACTAGAGACTTCTGTTTAATAGTGCTAATCTCTTTAGCAATTACTGCCTCTTCATCACATGATTGACTGCAATCAAGAAAAGAGTTCCCTCATGCTCTTTTCCTCTCCAAACTACATTTTTCATTTCTATCTGCCCAGCTTTTTGCTTAATTCTTTTTTTTTATTGTAGGTCCCTGTAAGAGTAATTAATAGGGCTGGAGAGATGGCTCAGCAGTTAAGAGCACTATCTGCTCTTCCAGAGGTCCTGAGTTCAATTCCCAGCAACCACATGGTGGCTCTCAACCATCTGTAATATGATCCAATGCCCTCTTCTGGTGTGCAGGTATACATGAAGGTAGAGCACCCAAGTACATTTGACTAAGTAAATGAATAAATAAAAATTTATAAAGTAATAATAGCCATGCCACAGGCTCAACATTATGCTGTCTTGAAAGTTCCTCCAACCAAAGAAATTAATCCATTACTTAAAAATTGTGTGAAGCCAGGCACAGTGGCACATGTCTGTAATCCCAGCACTCTGGGAGGTTGAGGCAGGCGGATCTCTGTGAGTTCAAGGCCAGCCTGGTCTACAAAGTGAGTCCAGGGCAGCCAAGGCTACACAGAGAAACCCCATCTCAAAATAAAGCCAGGTGTGGTAGTGCACGCCTTTAATCTCAGCACTTGGGAGGCAGCTCTCTGAATTTGAGGCCAGTCTGGTCTATAAAGAGACTTCCAGGACAGCCAGGGCTGCACAGAAAAAGCCTCTCTTGAAAAACAGAAATGGGCTGGAGAGATAGCTCAGAGGTTAGGAATTCTGGCTGTTCTTCCAAAGGTCCTGAATTCAATTCGCAGCAACCACCTGGTGGCTCATAGCATCGATAGTGAGATCTGGTGCCCTCTTCTGGCCTGCAGGCACACATGCAGGCAAAATGCTGTGTAAGTAGTAAATAAATAGAAAAATAAAAATAAAAAAGGATACGCTGAAGTCCAAGATCTCTAGAACCCGAGAGTAAATGGAACACTTATTTTGAAGTATATTCTTGGCAAATGAAGTTAGTAGAATGCTTACAAGAAAGTGTAAGGCAGTGGTGGTGTGGTGCCTGCCTGTAATCCCAGCACTTGCGAAGCCGAGGCAGGCGGATCTCTGAGTTCAAGGCCAGCCTGGTCTAGGGCTATACAAAGAAACCCTGTCTCTAAATAAATAAAGAAAAGAAAAAGGGAAAGAAGATAAAGTGGAGACAGATCAAAGTGCTACACAGAGAAACCCTGTCTCATAAATTAAAAAAAATAAATAAACACATGAAAGAAAAAGTGGAGACAGATTAGAGTGGATTAGCTAAGGAATGCCAAGGATGTTTGGCTACAAGCACCTGCTGCAAAAGGTAGAAGAATGTTCTAAACGCTTATAGCTCCTGGAACCATTACACTTTTGTTATGTCAGCAAATGTATAATATTTTGTTTTGGCTGCTTAGGAGATGTTTTTGTTTGTAATTGCTTTCATTTCCTATAGAGAAATATGTTTAGGTGTAGAATTGCTGGGTCCTAGGGCATTTTTTTTTTCAATTGTTTTGTTTCTGTGGAGCTGATGAATACAAGTCCTTAAGATCGTTAGGCAAACCTCTCCCACTCAACTGTACCTGTCACTCTTGTATATTCAAATCTAAAAAAGCTTCTGGACTGCTCTTCCAAGTAGTTGTTCTGCTTTCCATTCCATAGATAAGTGCTGCCGTTACTGCGCAGCGCGCATCTCAGCATTTGATGCCATCAGCCTGTTTGCTGTAAAGGGTGGAATTGAATTTTTTTTTTTTCTAATTTGAATTTTTAGTAGTGGTGAGCACGTTCTTTTATGTACTTACGGAAGGTTGTGTGAGTGTGTGCATTATTTTAAGACAGAGTCTCTGTGCAGCCTTGACTGGCCAGGAATTCACAGCGATCGGCTTGCTTAAATTTAAGGCATGCGCCACGATACGCAGGCCGAGCGCTGGTTTTAAAAGAAATGTGCTGCCGCCTGGCACTATTTTAACTATTTTAAAATCTGCAATTCGATGGCACCAACTACAATAATTCTAGCGTGCGTTACTGCCTGGATGCGGGACAGCAGCAGGAGCCGAGAAGGCGACCCCGGAAGCCAAACGAACCACTGCGGACTGCTTCCTCTTCCCTAAAACTCTAGCACCCGAAGGCAACGCCCACCGCCCTGCGGCGCGTGCGCGCGGCTCCGGGAACCAGCGAGGGCCTCAATCGCGCTTTCCTAGAGCAGCCCGGAAGTGTCTCTGGGCGCTTCCCGAGCTCCGGCCAACTCTCTCCTGCTGCCAGCGTCCTCCAGGTGCTGCGAGCTCTGAAGGACTGGTTTGTATTTGTCATGTGGGGTCATTAGGGCTTCCAGAGCTGTGACGAGGATTCCGGCTTTAGGGGTGCGGTCTCGGCTGCGTCGTCCAGGCTCGCTAATGCTATTTACGTAAAACCTAAGTGAGCGCCTGCGTTTCTTGGTTCTTTTCCATGCCATCTGTTAATCTCGGGGACGCCTCCCTTCTCCTAGACTCAGGTGGGCTCCCTAGCCACCCGGTTTCAGCGCCACCTCCCAAGCGCACGCCCCGTTTGCTCTGTATCGTTGGTAGTTCATGTAGTCAGCGACCGAAGGACGGGGTCCCACATCGACCCCCACTTTTTAGTACATGAAGCTCCTGACTGGGGAGTCACTTGTCTCTCCTTCACCTCTCCAGGCAGCTGTGCTTAGGACCGTATCTTCGGGCTGATCAAACCAGGGGGAGCAAGGATGTCTGCCTTGGGGGCTGCAGCTCCGTACTTGAACCATCCAGCTGACAGTCATAGTGGCCGGGTCAGTTTCCTGGGGGCCCAGCCGTCTCCAGAAGTAGCGGCAGTGGCTCAGCTCATGAAAGACTTGGACAGGAGCACCTTCAGAAAGTTGCTGAAGCTTGTGGTCGGGGCCCTGCATGGGAAAGACTGCAGAGAGGCAGTGCAGCACCTTGGTGCCAGCGTCAACCTCTCAGAGGAGCGTCTGGCCGTCCTGCTGGCGGGCATACACACACTGCTCCAGCAGGCTCTCCGGCTGCCCCCCACCAGTCTGAAGCCAGATGCCTTCCAGGACGAGCTCCAGGAACTTGGCATCCCCCAAGATCTGATTGGAGACTTGGCCAGTTTGGCATTTGGGAGCCAACGCCCTCTTCTTGACTCTGTGGCCCAACGGAAGGGATCCGGGCTGCCTCACATGTCTTACTTCCGGTGGCGGGTGGACGTGGCCATTTCGACCAGTGCTCAGGCCCGCTCCCTACAACCGAGTGTTCTCATGCAGCTGAAGCTCACAGATGGGTCCGCGCACCGCTTCGAGGTACCAGTAGCCAAATTCCAGGAGCTGCGGTACAGTGTAGCCTTGGTCCTTAAGGAGATGGCCGAACTGGAGAAGAAGTGTGAGCGCAAACTGCAAGACTGAACCCTGTTATTGTGGGTGCTGCAACTGGTACCAGAGCACAGCCCTGCTGGTCATGAGGCCAACTCAATTGAGGGCTTGCATGTAAGAATGTGTTTTGTTTCAGTGAAAAGACGGCAGTGTGACTCTCGGGTTTTGTTTTGTTTTATGAGTAAGCAGCTGTGGGTAGTGGCACAGCTTATAATCTGAGCACTTGGAAGGCTGAGGCAGGAGAATGGTAAGTGTAAGGCCAGCCTGGGTTACATAATGAGACTCAGTTTTGAATTAAGAGGTAAAGCAACTATTAAAAACATGTTCTTCTGCTCAGGTGTGAAACCTCACGCTTACCCCTCTCCCAGCTGTTGGTATGTGCTCTTGCATGGGGACATCTGGGGATCTAGGGTCCACAACCTAGAGAGAGTATACAGCAAGGTTGCTCAGCCTGACCTAAGCTTTTCTTTCATAAGTCCTGTGCCTTGGTGTGGACATGTTTATTCTTTTGGCCCAAATTTCCTTCTATCATGAATGGGACATCCTGGGGGGAGGCAACAGAGAGAGACATTACAAATACTAAATACCTATTAAATGATGTTTAGTATCTATAACATTGAATGCATCTTTTAAATATTAAAACAGGAGTACGGGGCTGGGAGATTGGCTCAGCAGTTAAGAGCCCTTGTTGCTCTTGCAAGAGGGCCCGGATTCAGTTGCCAGCATCCACATGGTGGTTTACACCCAATACAGGTACATATGTGGTCCACGCACATAAATACCAGCAAAACATTCATACTCACAAAATCAAAATAAACAAATCTAAAACAAACAAATAATACAACCAGGAATACAGGGCTAGAGAGATGGCTCAGTGGTGAAGAGCACTGGTTACAGAGCCCAGCATGGTGGAACATGCCTGTAATCCCAGCACTCTATCCCAGAGAGGCAGGCAAATCTCGGTGGTCTACAAAGTGAAGCCAGGATAGCCATGGTTACACGGAGAAGCCCTGTCTTGCAGGGGATGGGGCACCAGCTGCTTTTCCAGAGGACCTAGCTTCTATTCCCAGCACCCCCATGAACACTCACAACTCTTAACTCCAGTTCCAGGAGATCCAACACCTTCTCACAAACATGCATGCAGACAAAACACGAATGAATGTGAAATAAAAATAAATACATTATTATTTAAAAACCAAACCAAACCAAGAGTCCAGCTTGTGACCATCCAAGAGAGCCAGGTCAGGTGAGAGGATAGGTGTGTTTGGCATGTGGGCCATCAAGACAAAGTTGGTCATGGTGATCTTTGGACACTGTAGGTGTCGTAAGCAAACGTGGAGGTGAGGGATTGATGGGTCCTCTGCAGAGGGATCAGCTGGTACTTGTGGCTGTTTGTGGAGTAAAGCTATACAGTTAAAAGTTAGTGCATTAAAACCTTTGAATACAGCCAGGTGTGGTAGCACACACTTTTAATCCCAGCACTCAGGGAAGTAGAAGCAGGCTGATGTGAATTCCAGGCTAGCCTGGTCTGCAAAGTGAGTCTAGGGACAGCCAAGGCTACACAGAGCAACTGTCTTGAAAAACCAAACAGAAACAACAAAGCCTTTGAATGTGTCCACTGTATTAACCCAATACTTCACTCTCATCTCTTCATGGGTAGTCTGGAAGCACTGGGCATATCAAGAATCTTTGCGAGCTGGAGAGTTGGCTCCATGGTTAAGAGCCCTTGTTCATCTTGCAGAGGACCTGGGTTTGATTCCCAGCACCCACATGGTGGCTCATGGCCATTTGTAACTCCAGTTTCAGGAGATCCAGTGCCTTCTTTTGTCATCCCTGAGCACCATGCATGCACTTAAGCAGTCAAACAAACAAAACACTCTTACACATAAAATAAAAAAGTCTTTAAAAAAAAGTTGTCTAGTGGTGCATCCCTTTAATCCCAGAAGTCTGAAGAGGCAATGAGTTCAAGGCCATCCTGATCTACAGAGTGAGTTCCAGGACAGCCAAGGCTACACGGAGAAACCCTGTCAATTAATTAGTTAATTAATTGAATTAATTAAACAAAGTGTCTATGTTCTCTGGAAGGGACCCGGGTGCCCTGAGGGCACACAGGTAGGTGTAACCTTCACTGTCAGCTCTTGGCCTCAGTCTCCACAGCAGGTACTAGTTACCTTTATCATTTAGGAAACTGGGTGGCTACTACTTGCAGTCTCCATTCCCACTAGATTAGGATATAGCTGGGTTTGTAGTAAGCATGATGAGGCTTCCTTCCCCAGTCGACAGCCCTGACTACCCAGGGACAGCCTTGCTTCTGCTTGCCTTCCTGGATGTGGCCCCAGAGTACAAGGGAACAAGTGACAGGAGCTAGCTTCAGGGCCACAGTAGGATTTAATATTACTGTGGCATCAGGGAGATTTAAATATGAACAAACATTGACTTTTCTCAGAACCTGGCACAAGTACAGACGTAGAAGCCAAGAAGGTGGCCCTTCTGTGCACTCTCGTTTAGTTGATGGGTTTGTTTTGAAAACAGGGTTTCACTGTGTATGACACACTCTTGTGGGTCAGGTTGGCTCAGGATTGCAATCCTAATTCAGCCTTCCGTATGTAGGATTTGATAGACATGTGCCATAACACTCAGAATCCTTTGTTTATTAAGATCACACATTTTGAGAACACCTTTTGTAGGACTATAACAAAGAACAGAATTGCAAGTAGCTTTACATAGAGTATAACAAGATGAACTTTTGCACCATATGTGTACTGTGAAACTAGAATCAGCTTAACAAGCAGGATACTTGGGAACTGTCGCTGCTGCTGCCTCTGGCCACCTTTAGATCACCTCTGGTCACTCTGTCACTTCTAACAACTCCGGTGTTCTAGGTTGGCACACTTCTGCACCATTCTTGTGTGTCATTTAATCTCTCCAGTGATCCAGTGAGGAAACTGTTTGAGGATGGGGCAGAGATACTCTGTAGACCCCTGAGCCACCTCTACTGCTCCTTATCTACAGTTTTCTGTTAGGTCGAAATGATATCAGGCCAGATGTTGTGATGCTCACCTTTAATCACCTTTAATCACACACGAGAGGCAGGGGCAGTCTAATCTCTAAATTGGAGGCCAGCCTAAGCAAGTTCTAGGACAGCTGTAGCTCCCAAGTGAGACCTTGTCCAAATAAAAACCAAACCAAACAAAATGGGCAGTGGTGGTACATGCCTTTATTCCTAGGCATTCTGGAGGCAGAGGCAGGTAGATCTTTGAGTTTGAGGCCGGCCTGGTCTACAGAGTGAGTTCCAGGGCAGCTGGGGCTACACAGAAAAATCCTGTCTCAAACAAACCAAAAACAAACAAACAAAGACTTAATATATTCCTAATATTCCTATCTATACTAGGGGTTAGGGTCACTGGGATTCAGGATTCAGTAACCCATTAAGCTTTATAGTCACAACCCTCTGAAAAACTTTTAACACATCTCTAAGGTACACCTCCCAACCACCTGAACGCTCCATTCCCTACCTGTTCCAACTGGCATCTCCCCTTAGTCCTAAAGGAAGCCAGACTCTTTTGAAATCCTGACTCTGGACCCACAGGAGCATGGCAACATTGCTTCCTTTCCTAGAGCTTTGGATGTTCAATATCCCCCAAAAGCCTGTGAATTGAAGCCACAGGGATAGAAGGGTTGAAGGCTAGGACATGTCACCCCATGCGGGCCCCAAGTAACTGCAAGCGTTATTGTCCCTGTAGTGGTGACTACCCTGCAGACCAATAGAGATGCAGCGCTACTGGCCAGATGCACCTGCCTCCTCTGCCCTAAGGCAGAGCTCTGCTCCTTGAAAGCCTGCAGCAGAAACACCAACTAATCAAGGCTTCAACCCCTCAGGTCTTGCAAGTGCCAGTTCCTATACTATGAATTTGGGCTATTCCATCTTTCTCCCCTCCCTGAAGTGACAGAGAATTTGCAATGATGACAAATTACATGGGACAAGGAACACTTAAAGGACAATACTAAAAGGACATATACAAGTAGTTTCTAAAATTACATCTAAAAAGCAGGGATTACCTGGCAGTGGCTGAAATGAGAGGTCATGTTTAGCACAAACAGAGACAGATCCTCAAATCCCACCCTAAAGTTCCCCCAAAGGCCATGCTGAGTGCTTGGCCCCTTCACCCAGATTAGCCACCATCATAAGGTGACACAGAGCTTGGAGAGCCTGCTTCATGAGAGGCTGGGTTGGCTGACAGCTGGATGGATTTGGACCACAGTCCTCAAGACTGTGCCAGGATACCTGTTAGTGCTTTGTCTTCTGAACTCTGCAGGGTCATTGTTGGCTTTCTGGTTGTAAGGACCCTGATACTACTAGGGTAGACCTCACCAGCTGGCCCTCAGAACAGTTTTGGAGGATCTGTAAATGTATGTTCAAGTGTTTGGTTCCTGATGCACTCTTCCGATACAGGCCCCCTTTGGCTCTCTTTTGGGCTGACTCAGACCCCTCACTCTGCCCCTGGGTGGCTTGATCCCTGCCCCTACCAGCTTCACTGACTTTCTGGGAATACCCCATGCACTTGGAACTTAAGCAGTTGACCACAGGGTGTCCCCTCCACCTCCTTCTCAGTACCCATTGCTATTTTAGTCTCTGCTGTGCAAGATCTCTTAGTTCTGACTACAAACTTCTGTTACCAACTGGAACCCTGATTCTCACTGATCTCCCTGTCTATATCTTTATGGCATCACCTACTGATAGGTTTTGCTCAAATGAAGACCCTCTTTTTGGGGGCTCTGTGCCACCAAAGACACCCACAGGTCACTTTATTGCCAAGCAGCCTCTTCTTTGCCTTGTTCCTTCCTCCTCTTTGCTCTCCAGGGTCATTGTACCAACCTCTTCCCATCTACTGAGGCCACAGCCTTTTGGCTTCTCTGCCAAACTTGCAGACATGGCAGGAGGCTTTCTGTCACCAAAATCACAAACATCATCATCATCTTATGTTGTTTTGTTTACTTGTTTTGAGATATGGTTTTCTTTGTAGCCCTGGCTGTCCTGGAACATATTCTCTAGACCAGGCTAGCTGGAACTCCGCCTATTGGGATTAAAGGCATGTGCCACCAACTACCGACAGACCTGGAAATCCCAATCTTCCAGTAGTGCAAAGCACTAGATTTCCTGTGTCTGTACGTACAATTTCCTTCCTCTACCTTGGAGGCAGCATCTGGAGCCCCTCAACTTTTATGGAAGCCTTTGCCTGCGTGCAGCTCGGAATCTCGGATTCTGCGTGGTGCTAGACAAATCCACCGCCCACCTGCCCTTCCCAAGACTCCTGAGTCGGTTTCTTCAGACCCTGGTGGTCTAAAGGTATGAGCCTTGGTGCTGCAAGTCGGTAGAAACACAGGGCGTGAGTTTTGACTACAAGCTCCGACAGGCATCGCGCCACGGAAGGGGCGGGGTCGTAGCCCTGCCCCGGAAGATAAGGCTGCTTTGCGTCACGTATTTCCTCTTTCGGCCTTGCTTGCCGGCAGGTAAGTTGTGTTTGGGTTGCTGCGGGCTTGAAATTATCCACCGCCATCCGCCACCGTCAGCTATTCGGTGGTCTGTTGTGCAGCCTGGTCCCTTCATCCCG